GGCCAGGGCACATGCCCAGGTTGTGGGCCAAATTCCCAGTGGAGGGCATGCAGGAGGTGTCCAATCGATGTTCTTTCTCATCAATGTTTCTATCTCTCTCTCCCTCTCCCTTCCTCTCTCTCTAAAAATTAATAAAGAAACATAAATAAATAAAAATAAAAGAAGACTTTTCTGACCCCCAGCCTCATTCAGATTCTCTCAATATACATTCTCACAGTTCCTCGTCTTCTTCATCAAAGCACATACCCCAGATATAATGAATAATTTATTGAATAATTGTTTTCTGCCTGATGTCAATTTTCTCTAGTAGAATATATACTCCCTGACAGCAGGGACATCTGCCATGTTTACCTCTTGATCTCAGCATCTGACATAATGCAGAGAGCACAAAAAATATCTGTTGAATGAATGAGTCAGTGAAAGAAAAAATGAAAAATCTCATCATCCAGGATGGAAGGCAGACAAGTAAGTTGATGAGTGTGAAAAAGCAATGATGATGATGCAGCTCTATAATTCAACAATGTTGTCTGGGAGTGGAGGAGGGTCACCCGATCCAGCTCAGAAGGGAGAATGGAGGAAAGCTTCCCTGAGCAGTTGACATGGGTTATAGGCCCAGAGGGTGAAGTCTTTGCAGACACATAATGTGGCATTCTTCCCCTAGCCACAGGATATTCTGCCCCAACCCACAAGTCCATGTGTAGCAGACACTGGTGGTGCCCAGCCCATCAGCACTCACACTTCCATTCCCACTGTTCCCTTCATCCATCATCCACATGCACCTGAACCCTCCATCTGAGGACTGCCCCTTGGCTCACATGCAGAGCAGGTCCAAGTGCCCTCAGCCAATGTGATAGGAAGTAGAGGATGAAAGCCCCAGCTTCCTTGCTCTCAGTTGAAGTGACTCTGGTCCATGTCTAGAAGTCTCCAGCAGGATTGAACCTCAGTTGTCCACAGTGGTAACCTGCTTGATAAAACACCTGTCTTTATTGGCTGCCTTCCCTTCTCTTACCCCACCCTCACCACCACTCCAGAGTATTTCCTGTGATCTCCTCCCAAATATACCGTTTGCACTCAGACATCTATTTCTGGGAGAACTCAACCCTGGATACCAGGGAGGATGGGAGGAGCCCACTCACCAGGATGTGAGGTATTAGTCATCTCAGGCTGCCATAACCAAGTACCACAGGCTGTGTAGTTTAAATAACAGAAGTTTATTTTTACACAGTTCTGGAGGCTGAAAGTTCAAGATCAAGGAGCCCACTGGGTTGGTTTCTCCTGAGGCCTCTCTCCTTGCCTTGCAGATGGCTACCTTCTCACTGTGTCCTCTCCCTCCTACTCTATCTGAACAAAAAAATGGAAAAATGTCCTCGGGTGAGGATAAAAATAAAAAAAAGTTTGCATTCCTCTGATAGCTAGTGTAATCTAGCTCCTTTTCATTCATCATTTGGGTTTCCTCTTTCAAAAGTGTTTAAGTTCTGCCATTTTACCACTGTGTTGTCTTTTTCTTGTTGAGTTATAATGTTCTTTATATATTCTGAATTTTAGTCCTTTTACAGATACATGCTATATTAGTTTCTTGGAGCTTCTTAACCAATTACCACAAACTGGGTGGCTTAAAACAACAGAAATGTATTATGTCATAGTTCTGGAGTCCAGAAGTCGGGAGGGCTATGCTCCCTCTAAAGGCCCTAGAGAAGAATCCTCCCTTGCCTTTTTCTACCTTCTGGTGGCTCCTGGCTATCCTCGATGCTCCTTAGCTTATATGTAGATGCATCACTCCAATCTCTGCCTCCATCCTTGCATGGATTTCTTCCCTGTGTTTCCATCTCTTCACATGGACTTTTTATAAGGAAACTGTTCTGTTTTCTATCTACTCACTACAACACTCTACTGTCAATACCTCACTTCTTTTTTTTTTTATCCTCACCCGAGGACATTTTTCCATTTTTTGCACAGATAGAATGGGAGGGAGAGAGAGGAAGAGAGAGGGAGAGAGAAACATCGACGTGAAAGAGACACATCAAGTGGCCGCCACCCGCACGACCAACCAGGGCCGGGGACAAACTGCAACCGAGGTACATGCCCTTAGCGGGAACCGAACCCGGGTCTCTCCGGACCGCAGGCCGATGCTCTAACCGCTGAGCCAAACCGGCCAGGGCATCAATACCTCACTTCTAACACCAGATGTGGAAGGGTTTTTCTCATACCAAGCAATTCTCACTTACCAGCTGAATATCCAACAATGCAACTCAGTTCTGACACTATCTGCCTGAAGATAATGTCAGATTCCAAGGGCTAAGGGCTCAGTCCCACAAGGCTGCACCAACTTCAGATGCCAATTGCAAGTCTAGGTGGTCTCCTGTGCTTCTGACCAAACTGCTGTAGATCAGAGGTTCCCAGAACCCCCTCCTCAGGATCAGCAATTTGCTAGAGGGCCTCACAGAACTCAGGGAAACTAGAATTACTTAGTAGACACCAGTTTCTTATAAAGAATATGACTCAGGAACAGACAGATGGAAGAGATACACAGGACAAGAGATGGGGAAAGGGCACTGAGCTTCCTTCCATGCCCTCTCTAGGCATACTACTTCCACATGTTCACCAACCCAGAAGTTCTCTGAACTCTGTTCTTTTGGAATTCTTATAGAGGCTTCATTATGTAGCATGATTGATTAAATCATTGGCCGCTAGAGATTATTCAACCCCGTCCCTTTCCCCTTCCTGGAGATTGAGGGAGTGGGCTGGAAAATTCCAACCTTCTAATCACAAGATTTGTTCCAAGGCAACCATTCCTCATCCTGTGGTCACCTAGGAGCTTTCCAAAAATTCCATGATTAATACATGGAATTATTAATACATGAAAACCGGCTCTTGGTGTTGCTTTGGCTACTGCCATTTGCCATTGATGATTGATGAATGAGAGGGGGAGAACACGTTCTGAGTGGCTTTTGTTAAAAAAAAAACAAAAAAAACAAAACCTTCCAACCTGCAGATTACCTTTCACTTTTTCATTTGTGTCTTCTAATGAGTAAAAGTTCCAAATTTTATACAGTCCAATTTATTAACTGTTTACCAGCCCCTTATAGTGTTGATGTATCTCATTTATGAGATATTTGGGTTCTCAGAACACTGTAACTGTTCATTAAAGTCAAAAACTGGCGTGTCAAGGTGGCCAGGAGGATGGGTGGGGGCAAAGTGAAGGCATAGGGAAATTTAGCCAAAAGAAGAGAACATTCAGGGGCAAATATGATAATGGTTGTAGCAGGTGCTGTTGGGGTTTTACCCATATCCCCTCATCATTTCCTCTGTGAGTCAAAGACTGCTCATTGAAAACCCACTGGACTCAGCCTAAGGGCCTTTTTCCTAATCACAGAGCACACTAAGCCTGCTCAGAGGACAAGGAGTGTGGGACGCAGGCTTCAACCAGTGCTATCCAGAGAGCTGGGGGGTTAATGTCCCTGCTGACTCACCTGGCAGTTGGGCTGACTCGAGTTGGTTCTGCACCAGTTCCCAGAACCCCGCAATGGAACCGAGCTTCAGCTGCTGGTGGTGGTCCCTGTTTGATAACCCGCCTTGTATTGGCACTTGCTCTTCCCCCTCTCCTCTACCAGCCTCTTCAGAAATCACCTCTCCTGTGAACAGCTTTAATGCTTACACCTTGCACTGAATCCTTGTCTCACAGCCCATTCTAGGGGAACCCAAACTAAAACAATGGTCCTCAAATCTGCTGAAATCTTAATTTCCTCATCTTCCAAAGAAGAGAAGAGAAATTAGGTATTTTTTAAAAATAGAATTGGGTCAATAATTAAAGCAATGGGAATATAGATTTCAGCCAAAGTTTTGAAAGAACTTAAGAGAAATCTGTGACTCACCATCAGAGCTGTCCTAGATTGAGCTGAGTTCAAAAGTGAGTTCCCTATCACTTGGAGTAGTTAAAACAGTCTGGGGGATGTTTGAAAGATCCCAGCCAGTCTGGAAAAAGTGTATGATTCAAGATAACTAATGAGTGGGCTTGTTTTTTTTTTAACCTTAAATTCAAAATTTCAAAGTCCGGGGTCATATCAGGGATGAGAATGGCTGAGGGTAGTCATGAAACACGGATCTGAAAACCTCATCTAATCCTCTCTAAGACTTTTCTGGCAGAAGTCACTGCCCCTTTCTGGAATTTACTTTCCCCATTTCAGCCAAGTCTGTCTAAAATATAGATTTCTGGATCTCCCTCACCCCAAAGAGCCTGACTCAGGAAGAGCAAAGTTATTTTTTCGTAATTTATACTCTTGCATCTTTAGACCTTTGTCCAAGATTTCTTCTGCCTTGTCCCCACGAACTGTGCAGTGGATGACAATCTTTTCATTTTTCCTGATGCCAAAGGATCAGGTGGTGTATGTGGCTTTGGAGACCACAGGGGTCTGGCCTGCGAGCTGCTCCAGGACCTTGGCTGCCTGAGTCAGTCTGTCTCCACTTTGTCCCACATAGATATTGAGGCAGAGCTTGTGATGTGAAGTTCCACATGGGGTTCTCCTTCACCTTGATCTGCGCCATGATGAGAAACAGGAAGAGAGCTGCAGCCTTGTTCTTGAGCATCCATTTCCATGGTCAGGCTGCCCTACATACATGTTCTGAGACTGTTCAGACCTTGCCAATAGGTAAGCAACGTTTACAAAGCAAAGAAAGCATCAGCCAAGAGCCAGATACTTATCTGGAACAACCATATGTTATAAAGAATTTTATATGTGTTATAAAGAATTTTATTTGCCAAGAATAATGATCCATTGTACTTCTGCTGGAATAAGTGTGTGGTCAGTTTGCTGAAATCATTTTATTTCCTGTTTTCACTTTTCAAACAAGAAATTGGTGACATAGCACTGGGTGGGAGGCTCTCAATTGCATGTTGGCTCCTCCTGTTTCCCCAGATGACATTGCCTCACTTTTCAACTTCCTTCTCAAGGGTATCTGATTACTCCTTTATCTGGAATTATCTTCAAGGACAGCTCAGCTCCATAAAAGGGGGTCAGATTAGGACAGGAGGAATTGGGGAGAAGGCTGTGAAGGACTCAGCTTGCAACACCATGAAGAGCTTCCCCACGGCTCCCTCTATTCTCCTAGTTTTTGTCTTGAGTGTCTACCTCGGAGCTGCCATACGTATGTAGCTGCCCAACTCCCTTCCCAGGGATGACTGGGAATAGAAGCAAAGGGGTGTCTCCAATCACTTTTCTCTCCCTGTTTTTTTAGGTGGCAGTGATGTGGCCAAATACTGCTGCTTACAATTCAGCCAAAAGATTCTTTCTTGGAACTTCGTGAAAAGCTATGAATTTACTAGGAATAGCTGCTCCGAGCCGGCTGTGATGTGAGTATTTCTCATCTGGGTTTTTAGGGTCCCTACTAGCCACATAATTGGGTAGGTGCAAGGCAGGCACCCAATTACGTGGGTGCCAGGATGAGCCTCAGGGTGGGAACCTGGTAACTTGGGTTTTCACCCAGCCTCTGCCATGAACAAGTGTGTCGTTGAGCTTTGGTTTCCTAACTTCCATATCATGTGCTAGGCAGTGTGCTAAGTGCTGAGTATAAATGAGAGAACAAGACAGCCCTTACAGACTTCTAGCATAAGAAAGGGGGCATTAGAAGACATTTGCACAAAATAGATCATCAAAATTGTGGTGGATGCTTGAAGGGGACAGCAGGAAGGAAAGCAGGAGGGTGCTTGTCACTGTAGGGGAGGCAAAACTTTATTTTTTTTTAATTTTTATTTTTTTTATCCTCACTCGAGGACATTTTTCCATTTTTTGTACAGACAGAGTGGGAGGGAGAGAGAGGAAGAGAGAGAGAGGGAAACATCGATGTGAAAGGGACACATCGAGTGGCTGCCACCCACACGACCAACCAGGGCCGGGGACAAACTGCAACCGAGGTACATGCCCTTAGCAGGAACCGAACCTGGGTCTCTCCGGACCACAGGTGGACGCTCTAACCACTGAGCCAAACCGGCCAGGGCGGGGAGGCAAAACTTTATCTCTACACTCTTAGGCTGGGCTTGAGAATTAAACTGACAGACAGATGAACAGGAAAAAAGCATACAGATTTTACATGTACATGGGAGTGCTCACAGGGAAATGAAGACACCCCCTCCCCCAAAGTGGCAAAATCTAAATGCATTTATACTAAGTTAAATAAAGAGAAGCAGCTGTGGAAAGTAACTAAAATGTATGGGGGAGGCAGCTAAAAGATAACCAGAGTTATCTTAACAAGGTCTGTTTTGACAGAATTCTCTTGGCCTTGACTTTCTATTTCTGGTAACAAAGATATTTCTTTCCTCTTGGTATAGGGAGGACATTTTTAAAAAAACTTATCTTTATTGTTGAATGTATTACAGATGTTCCTCATTTTACCCCATTGACCGCCTCCTCCCCACTCCCGCCCCCCTCCTGCCTTTTCTCACACTGTTGTCTGTGTCCATTGGTTATGCATATATGCATATAAGTTCTTTGGTTTATTTCTTCCCACCCCCCAACCCCCCTTCCCTTTGAGGTTTGTCAGTCTAGCAAACAATTTGTACTTCTTAATCCCTTCACCTTTTTCACTCATTTCCCCAACCCCCTCCCATCTGGCAACCAACAAAATGTTCTCTATATCTATGAGAATGTTTCTGTTCTGCTTGTTCATTTTGTTTGTAGATTCAATTGTTGATAGGTATGTATTCATTGCCATTTTGTTTGTTCATATTTTTTATCTTTTTCTTCAAGAAGACCCTTCAACATTTCATATAATAATGGTTTGGTGGTGATGAACTCCTTTAGCTTTTTCTTGACTGGGAAACTCTTTATATGGCCATCGATTCTAAATGACAGCTTTGCAGGATAGAGTAATCTTGGTTGTAGGTTCTTGCTTTTCATCACTCTGAATATTTCTTGCCACTCTCTTCTGGCCTGCAGTTTCTTTTGAGAAGTCAGCTGACAGTCTTATGGGAACTCCCTTGTAGGTAACTAAGTGCTTTTCTCTTGCTGCTTTTAAGATTCTCTCTTTGTCTTGAACCTTTTGCATTTTGATGATGATGTGTCTTGGTGTGGGCCTCTTGGGGTTCATCTTGTTTGGGACTCTCTGTGCTTCCTGGACTTGTATGTTTGTTTCCTTCACTAAGTTAGGGAAGTTTTTTGCCATTATTGTTTCAAATAGGTTTTCGATTTCTTGTTCTCTCTCTTCTCCTTCTGGCACCCCCAAGATACGAATGTTGGCACGCTTGAAGTTGTCCCAGAGGCTCCTTACACTATCCTCATTTTTTTGGATTCCTTTCTCTTTTAGCTGTTTTGTTTGGGTGTTTTTTGCTTCCTTATATTCCAAATTGATGGTTTGCTTCTTAGCTTTACCTACTCTACTATTGGATCTGTGTAGATTATTCTTTATTTTAGTCAGTGCCTCCTTCATTTCTGACTGGTCCTTTTGTATGCTCTTGAGGCCCTCACTAAGTTCATTGAGCATCCTTATGAGCAGTGTTTTGAACCCAGCATCTGTTAAGTTGCTGATCTCCATTTCGCTTAGTTCTTTTCCTGGAGTTTTGTTCTGTTCTTTCATTTGGGACCTGTTTCTTTGTCTCCTCCTTTTGGCTGCCTTTCTGTGTTTCTTTCTATGTATTACTTAACGAGAAGTATGGGGCTGGCTGAGACCAGATGCTGCTTGTTTGAAAGAATTTAGGAAAACCTAAAGCAGGATCCAAGACAGGCAAATCCTATGGTAAAGCAAATGCCAACAGCTTGGGTGGGTCTGAAAGTTGGGTGAGGCAGGGCCTCAGGGGATCACCAGGGCGGGGCAGCCAGTGTGAGTCAAGTTGCTGGAGTCCCAGATATGGCGGCTGTCTGCTGCCCCAGGGAAGGGCTCACCAAAGGATCAAAGGCCTCTGACAGCACATCTGTCCGGGAGAAAGCCCCCTCTCCAGCCCTCGCTCCAATGCCAAACAGCTCAGTTCTTCCCTATATGTCTCCGGTGCCACTCAAGCTGCTTCCCCTCTGAGCTTAGAGGAAGCAAGTCCAAGTAAGTCCGTGCACGGGCAAGGATATGTACCTTTGCAGCTGCCTGGGGCTCCAGCTGCCTCAGCCTCCCTCAGCCTCAGTTCCTGCTGGTTTTTCCAGCCAAAAGTTATGGGGACTTCCTGGCACTGGAACCCTGAGCGGGGCACCTGGTGTGAGATGGGGACCCTCACTCTTCACGAAGACCCTCCCAGCCTAGGTGTTCTCCTGATTTTTATCCGCCACATGTGGGTGTGGGACCAGCCTGTCCACCTCTGCCCCGCCTACCAATCTTGAAGCAGCTGCTTCTTTAATTTTGTAGTTGTAGGACTTCCATTCAGCTTGATTTCAGGCAGCTTTGAATGATGGTTGTTCTGTAGTTTAGTTGTAACTTTGATGTGGTTGTGGGAGGACGTGGTACCGCGTTTACCTACGCCGCCATCTTGACCGGAAGTCGGGAGGACATTTTTTACATGGGAGTTTTATCTCCTGCTTCCAGGAAGAAAGGGGGAGGTCAGAGAATCCTTCTTTCACCTGATTTTTTTTAGTGCCTTTAGCTCAAAATTATCTTTACGCCAAAGTGGCATATTTTGGGGTAGCATATTCTGCCACTTTTTTTTTTCTTTTTAATCCTCACCTGAGGATATTTTTCCATTTTCTTCTTCAGATAGAGTGGGAGGGCGGGAGAGAGAAACATTGATGTGAGAGAGACACATCAACTGGTTGCCTCCCGCAGAACCCTGACCAGGGCAGGAAACTAACTGCAAAGGTACATATCCTTGACCAGAATTGAACCCCGCAACTCTTTGGTTCAGGGCCGACGCTCTAACCACTGAGCAAAACCAGCCAGGCTAATCTGCCACTTTTCATTGTAGTCACAGGAGGTCTAACTCAATGTCAGGAGGTCCCCCCGAGGAGGTAACATTTACACGGAGACCCTCAAGGATCAGTGGGAGTGGACTAGGGAAAGGGGGCAAGAAGGAGCATGGATGTACCAGGCAGAGGGAGCAGCTGAGTGGGAGGAGGATGCACATGTCACTGACAAGGCAGAGAAGTAAATAGGAGCCAGGTCATGCCAGGCTCATTGGTAGCAGGAGAGATGACACATACCTCACAGGCCCCATGTCAGGACTAAAGGAGAAATATATGCAAAGTGTTTAGTGCTGTGCCTGCACACAGTGAATGTTCAACAAATGTTCTGTCAGTGGCAGAATTTGGCCACATTACTGCCGCAAGCAGAGGCAGGATGAGAACCCAGGTTACCAATGTTCAACCAAAACACCTTTAATTGCAGGTACACAGGGAGGGCAGGTCACTGCTCCCCAGAACATGGGATTCCTGAGCATGGGAGAATGGTATAGAAGGAGAAAGAAGGGGCTCCAGAGGTCCCCTGATTATCATTGCTTTGAGACCGTTAGGGATGGGAAGAAGACACTCAAGTGCTTAGAAATGGAGGGGACCCTCTGGGGCTCAGGATGCCTTGGGTCTTCTCATTTGTGTCTCAGTTGGCTTTCTGGAGCTTTAGAGTCATCAACATTTATCCAGAAGCTGGCAAAGAACCCTGAACTGGGCTCAAAGAAGTGGCTCTGTCACCTATAAGATGTGTGACCTTGGGCAAGTCAAGTTTCCTCATTTGTAAAAGGAAGGTGAGAGGCTTATATCAGTTATCTATGGCTGCATAACGAACTACCCCAAAACTTAGGGGCTTAATACAACAATGACCAGTTTCTTATCTTGCATGGTTTTTGTGGGTCAGGAATTCCAGATGGGCTTGGCTGGGGGTGCTGGAGCTGGAAAAGCTGGGTCTGGTGGCATCTCTCTCTCTTCAGGGCCTCTCTTGGTGGTCTCTCTGCTGGCTATTTCAGACTTCCTCACAGATGGTGACCTGGGGTGGTAGGACTCCTTACTTGGTGGTTCAAGGCTCCAGCATAAGTGATCCAGCAAACCAGACAGAAGCTCCGCCATCTTTTCTGACTTAGCCTACAAAGTCACATTGTGTCACTTCTGCCACATTCTGTTGGTTGACCAGTTCCTAATGACCTAAATTCAAGGGGTGAGGACATAGACCTCCATCTCTCAAAAAGAGAAATGCCATGCTTTCATACACCCAGAAAGCTCTTCCTCTCTCTCCTATTTTCCCTTTCTCTTGGCTCTTCTCCCAGGGTCTTCCGGAGAACCCTGAAAACATTGCTGGGTGCTGCAAGGTGCTCCAGGCTAGAACGACTGGATCTAGGCTCTCTCCATGTCTAAGTGCTCTTCGGGTGCACGAGGCTGGAGGAGATTCAGGGACATTAACCACAACTCCCATTCGCAACAGGAAACAGGAATCATACATAAGGAATCATGGCCAACAACCCATGATAATGTGGTTAAGAATTAAGTGGCATAGTCCATATAAGGTTCCTTTTTGGGGTGATGCAAATGTTCTAAAATTGATAGTGGAGATGGTTGTGCTGTCTATGGATATACTAAAAACCACTGAGTGATAATTATACGCTTTATTTTTTATTTTTTTAATCCTCACCCAAAGACATTTTTGCATTTTTCTTCAGATAGAGCGAGAGGAAGGAAGAGAGAGAGAAAGAAACATCGACGTGAGAGAGACACATCAAGTGGTTGCACCCACATGATCCCAACCGGGGTGGGAACAAACTGTAACTGAGATATGTGCCCTTCGGGGGAACTGAACCCCGGACTCTCTGGTCCGCAGGTTGATGCTCTAACCACTGAACCAAACCGGCCAGGGCTTCTGTTTATCTTCAAATAGAATGGGAGGGAGAGAGAGAGAAACATCGACATGAGAGGGACACATCACTGGTTGCCTCCTCCACGACCCCAACCAGGGCCAGGACAAACCACAAACCGCAACTGAGTTATGTGCCCTTGACCGGAATCGAACCCGAGACTCATTGGTCAGAGGATCAACACTCTAACTGCTGAGCCAAACCAGCCAGGGCTAATTATATACTTTAAATGAGTGAATTGTATGGTGTGTGAATTTTATCTCAATAAAGCTGTTGGATTAAAACAGAAGAGTTAAGAGGCAGGGTATAGTTCACATGCTTCTGACTAGAGCTGTTGGAAAAGGTTTCCTGGCAAAGGTGAGCTGGGAAGCATGGTTTCCAGTGGAAAGTGGTGTATCAGAGAGCAGGGAGGGCAAGGGCCAGAAAAGGGAGCAGGGGCAGTGTGACAGGGGCGTGGCAAGACTAGAATATGGCGGCCGCCCCTCCATCCCTTTCCAGGAGGCAAAACTTCTCAGTATTGACGGTCAGCATCTCTTTCCCACAGATTCACTACCAAAAGAGGCAAGAAAGTCTGCGTACAGCCAAAGGAAAAATGGGTGCAAAGATATATTTCTTTACTGAAAGCTCAACCAAAATTGTGACTGCTGACTCTTCAGCCCAAGGACACCTGGACACTGCTCTTGGCCCTGCTGTCCTTGGTAGAGCCTGGAGAATTTCTTCAACAGAAATCTCTGTGGGCCTGGGGGGAAGGAAAAGGTGTTTTCCACCAGAGTTTTCATAATAAAAGTGTTTTGTAAAGATCTGGCTTTCTTATGAACATTCTTATTCAATAAACCTGAGGTTTCTTCAAAGAAAAGAAACAGTCAATATTTGCAGCTGACTTCCTGGTGAGTTCCCAACCCCTGAACCGACCCTGCTATTGAATTCTGCCTTTATGTTTTTGTCCAATGCCCTGGCTGGTTTGGCTCAGCGGTTAGAGCATTGGCCTGCAGTCCTGAGAGACCCGGGTTTGGTTCCCGCTAGGGGCACGTGCCTCGGTTGCAGTTTGTCCCCAGTCATGGTTGGGTCGCGAGGGTGGCAGCCACTTGACGTGTGGGTGGCAGCCACTTGACGTGTCCCTTTCGCATCGATGTTTCTCTCTCTCTCTCTCTCTCTCTCTCTCTCTCTCTCTCTCTCCCTCCCACTCTATCTGAAAAAAAGCATGGACAATTATAATACATTTTGACAAAATGTCCATTAAATGTTTTAATGTTATTTGGGCAGGTAAGTTTATGTTACTTGGAAAATTCTGTCTAACACCTCATAGCCTGCTGGTAATGGGTAAATTAAATGCCTTCATATTTAGCATTGTTTTCTTATAAATTATTATTAATAAACATGAATATTATCTACCTACCAACCCTAGGTACCTATATATGTCTATATTGCCTAAAGAAATATTTTTAAATCCCCAGCTGAGGACATGCTTAGAGAGAGAGAGAAACATCAATGTAAGAGATAAACATTGATCGGTTGCTTTCTGTATGTGCCCCAATTGACTGGGGATCTAACCTACAACCAAGGTATGTGCCCTGACCGGCAACTAAACCAGCAACCTTTCAGTGCACAGGACGATGCTCAACCAATTGAGCCACTCCGGCCAGACTAGCCTAAAGAAATAAAAAATACATATTTATAGCCTTGGCTGGTTTGGCCCAGCGGTTAGAGCATCAGCCCGCGGACCAGAGTCACGGGTTCAATTCTGGTCAAGGGCATGTACCTTGGTTGTGATTCGTCCCCCAGCCCTGGTTTGGGTCGTGCAGAAGGCAACCAGTCAATGTGTCCCTCTCACGTCAATGTTTCCCTCTCTCCCTTCCTCCCACTCTATCTGAAGATAAATAGAAAAATATCCTTGGGTGAGGATTAAAAAAATTTTTTATAGATGCACAGGAACTTGCAAAAATAGTACAGAGAGTTAGGTGTATCTTTTACCCAGCTTCCCCCAAGAGTTACATCTTACATAATTATAACACCATATCAGACCCAGGAAATTGATATTGGTATAGTGTTTGTATAGTTCTGTCATTTTATCACTGTGTAGCCACCATTACAACCAAGAAACAGAAGTATTCCACCACCACAAAGATCTCTCTAGTAGTATCCCTTTATAAAGTCACTCCTTACCCCCCTACCATCATTCACCCCTGGCAACCACTGCTCTGTTCTCCTTCTTTATAATTGTGTCATTTCCAGAATGTTTTATAATTAGAATCATATAATATGTGACCTTTTGAGTTTGGCTTTTTTAACTTCACACAATGCATCCAAGTTGTTGTGTGTGTCAATACTTCATTGTTTTTCACTGGTGAGTAGTGTCATTTTACATTCTAAGCAACAACATATGGTCCAGTTTCTGGGCATCCTTGTTGGTATTGTCATCAATATGGAATATTGTTTATGTGCTTTTTGCCATCTATATATCCTTCTTGATGAACTGTCTCTTGTATTTTTGTCCATTTTCTAATTATATTGCTTGTTTTCACTGTTGAGTTTTGATATGAGTTGTGTTTTTTTTTCCAATTTTTATTAATTTATTTTTGTTACAGATGTTTCTCCTTTTCCCCCTGCTAGACACCCTCCTCCCCATCCTGCTCCCCACCCCCCTGCATTGTTGTCTATGTCCATTGGTTATGCATGCATGCATATAAGTTCTTTGGTTCATGTCCTCCATCCCCCACACCTCCTACCCTGAGGTTTGTCAGTCTGTATCCTACTTCTATGTCTCTGGGTCTATTTTGTTCATCAGTTTGTTTAGTTCACTATATTCCACAAATAAGTGAGATCATGTGATATTTGTCTTTCTCTGCTTGGCTTGTTTTGCTTAGGATAATACTTTCTAGGTCCCTCCATGTTGTTTCAAACGATAAGAGATCTTTCTTTCTTACAGCTGCATAGTATTCCATTGTGTATATGTACCACCGTTTTTTTTATCCACTCATCTATTGATGAACATTTGGGCTGTTTCCAGATCTTAGTGATTGTAAAAAGTGCTGCTATGAACATAGGGGTACATATATTCTTTCTGATTGGTGTTTCAGGCTTCTTAGGGTATATTCCTAGAAGTGGGGTCACTGGGTCAAAATGGCAGTTCAATTTTTAACTTTTTGAGGTAACACCATAATGTTTTCCATAGTGGCTGCACCAGTCTGCATTCCCACCAGCAGTGTACTAGAGTCCCCTTTTCTCCACACTCTTGCCAGCACTTGTTTGATGATTTGTTGATGGCAGCCATTCTGGTGTAAGGTGATACCTCATAGTTGTTTTAATTTGCATCTCTCTGATGATTAGTGATGTTGAGGCTTTTTTCAAGTCTCTTGGCCATTTTTATGTCCTGTTTGGAGAGGTGTCTCTTTAGGTCCTCTGCCCATTTTTTAATTGGGTTCTTTGTCTTCCTTTTGTTGAGTTATATGAGCACTCTCTATATTTTGGAAATTAACCTCTTATTTGATGTATCATTAGCAATTATGCTCTTCCATATAGTGGGTTCCCTTTCCATTTTGATGGTTGTTTCTTTTACTGTGCAGAAGCTTTTTAGTTTGATGTAGTCCCATGTGTTCATTTTTTTCCTTTGTTTCTCTTGCCTTAGGCGTTGTATCAGTGAAAATTCTGCTGCATATGATACCTGAAATTTTGCTGCCTACATTTTCTTCTAGGATTTTTATGGATTCACGAGTCACATTTAAATCTTTTTCTCCTAAAAGTTTTATAGTTTTACATTTACATTTAAATCTCTGGTGCATTTTGGGTTAATTTTTGTATAGGTATAAGGTTTAAGTCAAGGTTGGTTGGTTTGTTTTTTTACCTATGGATAGTCAATTGCTCCAGCACCATTTATTAAAATGCTATTCTTTCTCCATTGCACTTCAGTTCTTGTGTGGGGTTATTTCTATCACATTTGCTGCATATTACAATCAATTTTTATTTTTATTGAGAAATAATTTATTCACCATCCACCTTTTAAAAGTGTACAATTCAGTGGCTTTTAGTATATTTACAAGGTTGAATATCATTACTATTAATATTCCAGAATATTTTTACCTTTCCCACCAGAGAAACCACATAGCTGTTAGAAGTGTGATTTCTATTCTCCCCTCCCTTCAGCCCTGGAAAATACTAATCTACTTTTGTCTCTGTGGATTTTCCTTTTTTGGACATTTCATATAAATGAAATTGTACAACATGTGGCCTTTTACATCTGGCTTCTTTCATTTGGCACAATATTTTCAAAGTTCATTCATGTTGTAGCATGTATCAGTACTTCATTGATTTTTTTTTTTTATATTATTATTATTTTTCATCCTCACCTGAGGACATTTTTCCATTTTTTGTACAGATAGAGTGGGAGGGAGAGAGAGGAAGAGAGAGAGAGAGAGAAACATTGACGTGAAAAGGACACATCGAGTGGCTGCCACCCGCACGACCAACCAGGGCCGGGGACAAACTGCAACCGAGGTACATGCCCTTAGCGGGAACCGAACCCGGGTCTCTCCGGACCGCAGGCCGACGCTCTAACCGCTGAGCCAAACCGGCCAGGGCAGTACTTCATTGATTTTTTAAAAAATAGGTTTTTATTGATTTTTTAGAAAGATAAAAAAGTCAATCGTCTGCTTCCTGCAAGCCCCCTAGTAGGGACTGAGCACAAAACCCAGGCATGTGCCCTGACTGGGAATCAAACCAGGACCTCTTAGTCCAAGGGGCAATGCTCAATCTACTGAGCCACAGTGGCCGGGCTGATTTTTATGGCTAAATAATATCCTATTACCTAGATTACACAACCTTTTGTTTATACATTCATTAGTTGAAGGACATCTGGGTTTTTCCTTACTTTTTGACTATTACGAGTAATGTTATACATTGGTGTACACGTTTTTGTATGAACATATGTTTTTATGGTCTTGAGTATATATGTAAGGATGAAATTGCTGGGTGTATGGTAACTCTGTGTTCAACTTTTTAAGAAACTACCCCAAACTATTTTCCATAACAGCTGCATCAGTTCACCTTCCCACTGGCAATGTATGAGGATTCCAGTTTCTCCATATGCCTGTCAACACTTGTTATTGTCTGTCTTTTTTATGATAATCATCATAGTAAGATATGAAGTGGTATCTCACTGTGCTTTTATTTTGTATGTCCCTTATGACTAATAATATTGTGCATCTTTTCATGTACTTTTGGTCATTTGCATGTCTTCTTTGGAGAAATATTTTTACTTTTGTCTTTCATTGTTGAGTCGTAAGTGATCTTTGTATATTTTAGATACTAGTAGGTCTTTATTAGGTATATGATTTGCAAATATTTTTTCCCCATTCTGTGGTTGTTTTTTCACTTTCCTGGTAGTACCCATCTAATGCATAAAATCATTAATTTTTATGAAGTTTAATTTATCTATTTTTCCTTTGGTTGCTTGTGTTTTTAGTGTCATATCTAAGAAACCACTGCCTAATCCAAGGCCTGGAGATTTACACTTATGTTTTCTTTTAAGAATTCTATAGTTTTAGCTTTACATTTAGGTATTTGACCCTTTTAAAGTTAATATTTGTATGTGCTGTGAAGTGGGTACAATGGATTTTTGTATGTTGATCTTGTTTTCTGAGACCTTGTTGAACTCACTCCTTAGTTTTAGGAGTTTTTTGGTAGATTTCTTGAAATTTCCTAAGCACACAATTGTGTCAAATGCAAATAGGAACAATTTTATTTCTTCTTTTTTGATCTGTATTCCTTG